TACTACTGTAAAATCACAATAATTTTTACAAAATCATAGCACAAAAATAATATGTATACTAATATATATATATATATATTTATAAATTCCGTTTTGTTATTTAATTAGAAAACATTTATTTTCATACAAAACTTGTTTTTTAAATGAAACATACATTCGTATGTTGCTGGTTAGCACTTAATATTGTTTATATATGATTTCAAACAGCCATAGAATAAAACTACAATCATTATGTCATATAAGTGTTATTCACAGTCAACTTATTCGAAATAAATCGTATCTATGTAGCTTATGCAGCATTCGAGAAAAATATATGATCACCTCCTCATCTTCGCAAAAAAAAAAAAATACTTATTTATTAGCCTGGTAGCTGGTACGTTCGTCTGTTCGTCTGATTATTTATAGAACAATAATTACCAAAACAGCAATGTATCGGACACAAGAGTTTATCTGTTCTTACACAAAACCGTTTTTGGCACCAAATGACAAGTTACATTTTCAGAAAGTTTCGTGTAACACAAGTAATTCGATTTATCTTTGGGTTGGTTTCTCTTTTTTTCATCTTACGAACGCACAAATTTGAAGGATCGATTGGCAACATGTTGCGCATTGTTTGGATTTAAGGTAATCTCAGTTCACTCGACTGGATCATTAACTATTATGGTCATTCGAATATAATTATATACACACAAAATTATGTACCAATATAATACAATATATTGTGTGTACATTTATATATGCTAATATATATAACTTATAAACGTTTAATGATTTATGTGATTAGATTATGTATGTACAATTTAATAATTATTGTTTTTTTTTATTTTCTAAATCAAAAACTTAAATTATAAGTTCTTATAATTTATTTAACCTCTACCTGACTTGTGAGAATCTAAGTTTATTAAAATCTATATAATATATGATGATAATAAGTATAATAAATATCCATTGTAGCTTGTAAAACTCAGTAATTGGAATCTTGTTAAATCTGTAATATTCGAAATTATTTTTAATAAAAATATATATAAATTATTATTTAACACTCATGAAATCCTTTTTATTTTAGTTATAAAATTTATAAATTTGTATGTCAGATACCTAACAATACTTAGGATAAAAAATTAAAAATATAATATTTTTTGAGAAATTTAATATCTTTAGATGACCCTACATTTTCATGCGTAGTGGTCCTACTTACAAATGCATAACATTGTACGTTCAAATTATTTTTTTTCACATTTAATATTTTGATAATTAAATTTATAAGACGTATGAATATTATAATCTATTTATTTTCAGAGGTTATTTTTATATTTTGATTTTACAATACATTTTTTGTATATTTTGAAAACTCATAACTCGCTGTAAAATTTAAATATAATATATTTTTATAAAAGATATGTATAATATATATTGCTTAGTTTATAAGTATATGTGGAGGACATTGGAACATATTATGGTTTTGTGTGAATAAGAAATCATCCAACAATGACTCTTTGCTTAAAATTAAAATATAAAAAAAAAATCCTATGTGATTTGCTAGTGAATATTATTACTGTTAATTTTAAAATTGGTCGATTCATTGTAAAAATATTAATTATAACAGAGTTAAACTGATTATTTAGAACCTATAATTTGATATACGTTTGTAGGATTGAGACAATACATAGGAAGTAGCGTCTCTTAAATACCACAATAAACTGTATGGTTTTTATGCGTATTGCAGCAGCGCCTGTTTGATGCTATATTTATACGAGTATTCTTAAACGATTAGTAAATAATATTATAAATATAAACTACTGAATAATCGTACGTTAAAAATAAAAATAAAATCATTCTATACCAAAATGTATTAAAACATTGAATCCGATTTTACAATTTTTATAACATTATGATCTCAACTCATTGGTAATAGAAACAATGCATTTGAAATAATTTATTCGTAGCTGGGTCTCTATAATATAATTATTTGCGTAATAACAAAAATTATTTAATACTCAGTCATTAATTTTAGGAACAATCTGTGAATATAATATTTTAAAACGGTATTGGATTTATATTAACTAGTTAAAAAAATTGTAATTACAAAATTATTTTGTGTGTAAAAATAAAAATAATAGACAAATAGCTAATGCACAGCTATATTTACTAATTTCAACCAAACATGATTGATGACTATCACTCAGTCTTAACCTAACCTTGTAATCTAGTCATATTTCTGTTGACAAAAGATTAAACTATTTTAGAATTTATATTTATACCTACTAATTTTGACAACAGTTTATTACATATAATTTTATAATAGTTGAATGTGAAAAGCTACAGATTGGTTTTATTATTTATGAGTAAATTGCTAACATTATATGAAGACAATATTTTATACCGTCATTCTGGTGCTAAAAATTTAAACAGTTAAATCTAACAGTCATCACAAGTAATTGTTTAAATGGATTGTGAATAATATATTAAACCATTATATTATTTTGCTTTGGAATTCGTTTATAAAATTAAAACTAATATTGTTTATCAGAGTGTTGTATTTTGTGTCAACACTAAACACCACAACAATAACTCAACATAACAATTACCACTACAATTTATAATTGAATAATGTATGCCTTATTTAAGTCTAGACACTTACCCGTGGTTGAATTTTTTACTTAGTGTTTAAAGAATAGAAAGTAAAAATAAAATAATTTCAATGGTGAGCATTCAAAAATAAAACATTTTAATAATTTAAAAATAAAGCTAAATGCATTGTTATGTTTTTGGTATTTACATACTGCCTTAAGTAATCGAAGAATAAAATTCATAGTTCATGTAAACTATAAATTGTACTTTCATGATAATATGCTATACAAATATAATAAAATAAATATAAAAAATTAACTAACTTCTGAAATATATAAAATGAAAGCAAAAAGTATTCCGTAACTACTATAATATAGAGGACAAATAAAACTGTATGATACGATAAAATGATTTCTTTTGATTACAATAAAAAACTTTATAAAAAAGTGACTTGGTTTAATTGAAATTGTTTATAAAGAATTCATTATTTAAGGTTAAATCAATAAAATATTTTTCATTAGAAATATCTTATTTCGTGACCTACAACGCGTATTGGCATTATTTAATTACTGATCATGAACATATATACATATATATTCCACATATTTCGCTGTATAGGGCGTAATTATGCATATATTTTATATTAAATTTGATGTTGTATTTACATATCTAACGGGTGACATATATGTATTGTATCCATCAAAGTTTGATGATTTAATTATTAAGGTCAATGCAATAACAATTAGATTATTTAAGCGATAATATGATTCATTTATTTATTAGTCTTTTTTTTTTACGCTGTTTAATATTTAGGTCCGTTTAAAGTACTTAAATAGGTACCTCCGTTGTACGTCAAAATATTCAATAAAGTTAATTATAACATTATTATAAATAACTATTTTAAAATTTTCATGTTGAACTAAACTCGAAACGTTTTACAATATCAAATGGCATAATTAAATCGTTCAAATATACACATACTCATACACACAAACACACATTCACACAGCAAAACAATCAAGAATAATAATTACTTGCACATGGCATCGCAATGGTGAAATAGATGATAGGTCTACTAGTTGATGTTGCAATTCGTATTTGATTAATGCTTAGTTGTTTTAAAAATTTTCTGATAAAATCTAAATAATTTAATACTTTCTAAATATAAAGAACAATATTCGCAGAAAATGTTTCAAACTCCATATGATTCAAATCATCGTGTACAATAATATGTTGAGGTGTTAACTCATACACAATTTAAATTTGTTCTCAATCACTTTTCGAGTAAATAAACGTGAAAATTATATAGCTTATAAGCTATTAATATTGATATTATAACGCTATTATACTCGTAACATCAGCTTATTGTATTGTTAGAAAGTAGGTACTAAGGAAAAACGGTTTGTTTAAATTTAGATTTGATCAGCTTCTGGCAGGTACATGAATAATATGTTTTATAATATGCTATAAAAACAATAAACGAGCATGTTATTATTTATTATTATATTTAACAGTGGTTGAAAGAAAAATTAAATAGCTAAATACAATATAATGTACCAATTAGTCAGTAGAAATTAAATTAATGTACGAACTTCTTTAGTTATTCGCATTCATTTTCATGAATTTTTATTAAAAACTCAATTTATTATTTCAATCTATTGAAGTTCATGTTCTGGAAATTTCAAATTTGAACAAACGATCCACAACAAATGTTAATTTAGTTTTCTATATTATTATTCCATTCATTGTCATGAGCATAAAGGGGTAATAAGGTAATTATTTTGGGAAAATTTTCTACCGTTATATTTTATAGTCTAACTTTACTACATAAAATAACTAACGAAAATTATTCAAAAATATATCAAAGAAAACTTTTCTTCTTAAAAAAAAAAAAAAAATGATTAAAACAATATTTAAAGATATGTAAAGTTCTTACTCTTTTGATAAGGTTGTTATAACACTCCCATGAACTTGCAGATAGAGAGCTCAAAAAACGAAGATTCTCAAGTAATAACAATAATAATTTGGGACGTCGCATCAACGCGGTTCCCCGTAATATAATATCATATAACTATATACAATCGTATATTATTTATAGGTTATTATTGAAACACTTTGGGTTTTTCCTACGGGCGTTAAATCGTGTACGGGCCCATATATGTATTTATTAGACCTTTGACGCCCCCGTGCAAAATAATTGACACGTAACTGCGTTTTGTGTTCACGTCGTACAAACGTAATATTATAATATTTACCCGCCTGAAAACGGCTGAAGTGATGTAATATTTTTCTGTTTTATATTTTATAACAGAGCCTATTTCGATTCGAAACGCGAAAAAAGTTCTCTGCACCTACCCCCCCCACGCATGCTTACGTTTTGGCCACAGTAGCGTATTGACGTTGAACCGTCTGTTTTGTCGTTGTTTCAGAAGGGCTCCGAGGAATTTTGATCCGGCGGCCGGTCAACAAGTCCGCGACGAGTATCATATGGCCCTGCTCGGAGCACTTGCGGCCACCGGCAGTAGACGCCAGGGCTGCGTGCTGCGGGCGGCGGCCGACGCTATAACGTTCTACTGTGGCGGTGACGTGGTCAGTGGAGGCAGCAGTGGCGGTGGTGGCGGCGGTGGCAGTGGCGGCGACGGTACCGCCACCGCCGAATACGACCCGGCCGCGGCGGCGTCCGGCCGGCTGTCCGCCGCTGCCGCCGCCGCCGCCGGCGATCGCGGATTCGTCGGCGACTACTTCCGGCGGCCCGTCCGGTCGGTGGCCATCAGTGACGGCGGTTCCGGTGCCGGCGGCTACTACTACGGCACCGAAAACGGTTCGTCGACGGCCGCTGTGCTGGCCAACGCGACGGCAGGCGTGGAACCGTTCCTGAACGGTTCGTACAATCACACGCTCGGCGCCGAGGCGGAAGACCTCACCAATTACATATTCGTCATCACCATCGGCATAATACTGGGTGCGATGATTCTGACGACCATTTGCGGTAAGTCAAACACGGTGTAACGCAATACGGTGAAACCTTTGCGGCGGTATCTCGAAGTCGCGAGGGAACGAAAAAATGAAGTTGGACGTATCGAAACGTTGACTTACCGAGGGGATTTGACACATAAATACATTTTGAAATAAAAATTGTTTAATTACTGGGAAAAAAACGTGTATTCATAATAAAGAATAATGTATTTATAAACTTAATACCATATTTTATTATCGTTCGTCATTTGGGTAAATATACATTATTATCAGTCGTTTATCTTATTATGTTTTATGGTCTGAACATTTTTTATACTTCATCTCGTCTGTCGTACATATTCGAGTTAGTGGATCGTAATGGGCGGCGGGTACCGGATGATAATGACTTCGACTTATAGAAAATTCGACATATATAAATTCGATGCAATAAAATAACTTAATACGTAAGACGTAATACTGAATGATCGGGGTTGAAAAAAAAATTCGACTTCCAGAAACTTCGAGATACCAAAATTCGAAATAGCGAGATGTATAATGATTGCAGTCAGCTGAAAATTGGTAGAGTGGTGCTATTGGACACAATTCTGAGTCGTCAAAACAATATAATAATACTCATTTGCACGCACGGTGGTTTTAAACAGATAGAAATCATCTCGATCTGGTTTTTTTTTTTTTTTTTTTAATCGTTTGTCAATACTTAAGACGTATTTATTTCATAATATAATAGGTAATGCAAACGAAATTAACGCGTAAACGGTGGATTGAATTTTCATAATTTATGCTTTGTGGTGCATACAAGACATTAAAATCGTACGTAATATTTCTGCAGATAAAAACACACAACTCCACATAAGCAAAAGAAAAAAAAATTCAACGTTTTATATTATTTGCGAACATATTGTACCCCGCCAAGTGGCGTTGGTTATTCGCATACATTGAGTTGTTATGAACTCAAATAATATTAAGAGCCGTGTAGTGTGTACAACGTTCTCTCAAAATAAATTGTATTAGACAAATGGACGGGACGCAATATTATACGGGTTATTTTGGTACGTAATAATGGCATTATAAAGATGGACTTAAAATGAACGTTATGTAAAAGGGTACTTCAAAACCGAGTTTCACTCATAAATTCTAATGGTTTTGAGAATTGAATTTCTGAAATGCGCGTATAAACCAGACAACAATAAGTATAAATATTTTAACTCTCGTGATTTAACTATTCAGACCTTGTATTTATATGTTTTAAATAATAATAATATTATATATTACAGTAATATTATATGTTAAGCGAAGTAGTAATTTACATTTATATTATTTTCGTTACTGTTGAATTACCATTTTACAATCATTACAATTTTCGTACGTGTAGACTGTAAACTCACGAATATTTATAAAACTTCCATATTAATAATGTCTTAAATTTCAGAAATTCGGTTTTATAATAATCGTTTTAATACAACGCATCAGTAGTCGCTGTAGCATCAGCCGGCCCACGGACAACAATGACCCACAAAACCATTTTATTTTTTATCATTTACCATATTAAAACCAATTATTATCGATCTAAGTAATGATTACCTGTCATCGCATTCCACGTATTATTCTTTTGTTGAGAGAATGCATTGTTTTGTTTTTCATACTGCCTACATAGAATAAATCGATTCGGTCGTAATTATTTCGTTCAGGTTGGCACCCCACCTATATTTCAACAAAACATTCATTAGAATATTAAAACTCAGTTATTTGTTTATTTTTATGATAAGCTATTTTTAATGCTACCTTTTTTTGTTACGTTTTAATACAACTATAATACCCGTTCATCAACTCTTACACACCAATTACGTCAATCAAATAATTGAACCTTAAATTTAAAATTTACGTTTGAGCTTTACATTTTTTTTTTTAAATTTGTAAAGTTTCCAGTTTTTTATAAACAAAAACTACTACTAAAACTGTATCATAAATGCAGTGGTACGCACTGATGTGCTTTCATATTTTTAATTTTTTTAATTTAACTTTTAATGTTTTTTTTTTTTTTTTTTTTATGACATTTCAACTCACATAAACGTATATATATTTTTAGTTACCTGATTTTAAAACCGCATACACAAGGTAAAAAAAAAAAAATTCTAGGCTAACAGTATAAGCCGTTTATGTAATGAAATAAACAGCGTTGAAAACGTTGTAAAGCGTAATGGTTACTAGCATAGATAATGACAAAAGATGATCTGAAGGAATAAAAATAACATAACAATTTTTCCGTTCATAAGTTATTTAAAAATTGTTTCCTAAAAAACTTCAATATAATTCACGTTTAAAGTTCATAAAAATAAAAACGGTTAAAAATAGGATATACATATCAGAAAATATTTTTTTATTCTTGTGTACATAAATCTTGATATAAAATCATTGGGCCATAAATAAACCACGATTTAAACATAAAATAACAAAGTAGGCAATAAATAGATCTATAGATATATTGGAAATTACGATCTAAATCATAATATTTAAATCACCAATAAAGTGATAATTAATAAGTAAGTATCTATCATAAGCATTCAAATCATTATTTAAAAATATACAAGTTAAAATATGTATAAAACTAATATCATTTTATCATTTTATATTTATTTAAGTATAGAACGTAAATACTTTGAAAATCTGTGTTTTTCTTTATTTATACAAAAAAAGAAAATCAACTTTATAGTTAGTTTTAAACTAACACATACCTATTCATTTCAATAAAATTCATTAACCAACGAATACCAAGTAAATAATAAATTTGATTAAGTCCGAGGTATTTCCGTTAAAAAAAAGTTTTTTTATTGTCAGTAGTGAATTTTCTTCTGCAACAACTACTCGAGCTTTTTTGAAGATGCTATAAATAAAAGTTTAATTAAAAATAAAATAAAAATTGTTTGTAACCATCATAATTTCTCAAATATGTACAGTGTACATCTCAAAATATTAAATTAAAAAATATTTCTTGGTTATTTTAAACAAAATATAATACTTAGTATCCAAACGTATAAAAAAAATACTTGAATATCGACATTCTAAAAATATCAACAAAATAAATACTTACTAAAATTAGTTGAACAGTTTAAAACTACATGATATCGGATATATTACATTTTTTAGTTATTTCATTCTTTGTTTTAAGTATTATTAAATACTTAAGACATAATATTTCGATAACGATTTCTTAATAAAATAGATTTTGTTCCCTTTTTTTATACTTATATCATCGCATCTATTTCTTTAAGGAATTCTGCTCATATATGATTTATCAGTTGGATAAATTACACAAACATTGCTTTCAGTTGTACAGACAGAGTAATAATTAAAAGGAAATATTTTATACGTAGTATTTATACATAATTATATAATATTATTATTTATTACGTTCTTAATAAATAAAAAGATAAAAGAATGTAAAGTGTAATTGTTGTATTTTAATATAAGACCATAACAGTATGTTAGCACGGGTTTTGTTGTTTACTACTGACAAAATGAAACACAAAAGATGATATTTTAGAAAATAAGAGAATTTCATATTTTGCTGTTCTTGGTGCGGTTTATCTAAAATGCGGTATTTAACAACACAATGACCGTTTTAAATATACCAACTATGTAGTTAAATATGCTTTCGCAATCTCATGAAATCCTTTCCGTAGTATTTATAATGTGCCCATGGTTACTTTAATATCGTACATGTACTTACAAAAGTACAAACTGTTTATGATGACTATAAATTTACTACTTTACGAATTGACAATTAAAAACAAAAGAGTATAGTTTTTGTTCTGCAGAGAAATGAGTTTTATATTATATCATATTATATTTATTATTTATTAAAATTAATAACCATATTAATGTGCTATTGTTTTTAGGCATATATTATTTTAACTTCAACAGAAAAATTTTTGGTTTTATTACAATAAACTTTTTTTTATTACTATTATTATATTAATTGTTATGAAAAATTACAATCATCTGTATACACTGCATTCAAATTATTATAATATTGGTATTATTTGTATACGTTTTATTACAATATTAATAGTTAGTTGTCACTTTTCCGTTAAAATAATATATCTATTATAAATCTCTAAATAAATAATAATTAATGTCTTATGTAATATTGTCTTCATTTAAAGTTGACAAAAAAAAAAAAAATATACACTTTTTCTTTATACAAATAATATTGCCCATATCTGATCAAATTGACGTGAGCGAGTTTTAATATGTATAACTTTGAAAAAATATAATGTAAAATATTCATATTTTATACTATAATAATTTATAATTTGAACTGATAAATAATGTAACTATAGGAAAAATTTTAAAGATAATCAAAATACAAAAATTAATTGAAAAATTAATATAATGGATGAAACCTCCATAGTTTAAAGCCTTAAAATGAGTATATTATCGTAAATCTCTTCAGTTCATTGGCCTAAGTATTCAGTATCTTTTGAATATGAGGCACGTTAAGTTTTATAAATACGCAAAATATATCTTTTTCTTAATAAGAAAATGAGAAAATGAATTTAATTTAATATAATTTTTAAAATATAGCCTTTTAAATTTATATTTAATGGCTTTTAAATAGTTCTATTCGATTTTAAAACCTGATGAGATACTGTTGAATGACTTAGAACGTAACATTATAAATGGTTTAATGTTTTAAATCTTTTCCTAAATTCTGTAGCATAATAGGTATATATTTCCTTAGTTTTGTATCAATATGTGAAAGATAATTTACATGCAAAACGATTGGTTAAAATTAAGTGTTAGGTGGCCGCGAAGGAAAGCAATGGCTAAATAAAATGGAAATAATACACACGTTAAAATTAACCAGATGTAAAAAGCAGTATAGACAATAAAAGAGCTTATAGATAAAAATAAATGTTAAAAATGTGATTCTCGTTCGGTTTAATAATAAAATACAAACATTATGTAAGATAAATGTTATTTTTTAGAGACTCAACAATGCAAAATTACATT